CAGTATGTTTTTTTTTTTTAATATACCTTTCTTTTGCTCTAGGGATTCCAGTTTAAGAACATTCTAGTTATATTACTGCAACTATTCCCTCTACTCTCGAATTATTCATGGAAGGGATGAGCAATGATTAACTAAGGTGAAGCCAGCTTGATATAAAGTGTTTCCTGGAAAATATGACCTAATCCAAAGATAAACCCTACAAGATTTGCAGGTGGCTTGCAATATAAACCCTACCCCAAATGCAAGCCACAATTAAGATCCTCAGCCAGGCAGATGGGTTTCATTTGTCTGTTGCAACTTGCGAGATGTAAAGGGATGAATGTAAATATAAATACAGGAATAAAATATTACTGACATAAATGCTTGAAATGTGTACCTGAATTTAAAAAATTTGATTTTGTTTACATTAAAAAAAAATTTTTCATGCCCTGTAAATAAGCCCAAATGCATCCTTTGGAGTAAAATGAATGTAAGACCAGTCTTACTTTGGGAGAAAACATGGTAGATTTTTCGGAATAACTGCAATTCCCTAGTACTTTTTTGTCTACCTTTATTTCTTTAGCCTGTGGGTTCCTGTTTAAGGACATATCTAGTTATATAATTACTATTTCCTCTACTCTTAACTAACCGAATGGAAAGGATGGGCAATGATCCACCAAGGTAAGACCAGCTCGACATAGATTTTTTCTGAATAACCGCACTGACAATAAACATTCCTCTGCAGTTATGATGCACAGACATATCAATCGAAAGAATGAACCCTGTCAATGCAGTGCTAAGGTTTAAGGTGTGTCTGAGACTTCACTTTCAGAAATCATATCAACCGCATCAAAGTTAACATCATAAGAGACTCTCTGCTATAAAGGTTGCAACAGCAGCAGACTGTGGACAACTCTTTATGCTTTACCAGGGACTGCTCTTCTTTGTGTCTGAACTTGCTTAACTAATGTTCACGCTCTACTACACACAAATGGAGAGGGTGGAGAAAGTACAGAATTAATTCATGCATGTTATTTTGGGATGGCCCAGGGGCATTCACTATAAGTAGTGAGAGTTTTGCTTGACCTCCCTTTAATGGCCAAAGAACGGATTTATGTCATGCACAAGCCTGTCTCAGATTAAGGACAGATTGTGGCAATTCCCTGCAAGAGCAATAGGTGACAGAAAAGGGGAATGTCATTAACATAATATAATGTCCTTGAACAGGAAACCACAAGGCTAAGAAACAAAGATATATGTGAAATAAAATAAACGTATGAAGAAAGGAATTAGTCTACAGATTCTCCTGTATTCTCCTTTATTATTATTATTAGAGAGAGAGAGAGAGAGAGAGAGAGAGAGAGAGAGAGAGAGAGAGAGAGAGAGAGTGTGTGTGTGTGCATACATGCGTGTCGGTGTGTGCGCGCGCACGCGAGTGTGTGTGTGTGGCGGTATGTGCAGATAGTCAAGGTTGCATAGGTCTAACATTACAGAGTATGTGTGTGCTGCCTTTTATCATCCACACTGGAAAGTTTAGTGCTTCACTCAATGCATTACTCCTACAGGTGAACCTTCATATGCAGTTCACGTTTTTAAAAAATACGTTCTAATCTGATATCAGCCTCATCCTTTACCTTTGCACTCATTATCACTGAATCTCAATAAAGGGTGATTTTCATATCTTCATATAGATAAAAACATATCAAACCATGCATATGGTTAACCAGTTGCAGTATATTAATGTTAAGTAGCAAACACTATCACTGGTCATTCACTGGCATCAGATGACAATATGTGAAGGATTCATTTCGATTTAAAACATATTGATTATATGATGCTAGGGCCATATCGTTATAAACTAATCAGCATTGGATATGTGGTTTAACCAATAATAAGTTGACCAACTTTATTTCCCATAATATTTCCTGATACCCATTTTTAAGCTTGGTCAGCCTTGGAATCCAGGTCAAAACTGAAAATCTGTCTTCGTGAGATTCGAACACTAGACTACCTGACTGGCAGATCAAGGCAGCCATAAGAAACAAACAGATACTTCCCACCCAGAACACAATCCGACTCCATCAACCTTCTCACACATATGCAAGTAAAAAAGTGAGTAAACGACTCTCTTCCACGCCTTTAGACGTATATTGCATATAGGGCTAGACCTATATTTTTATAGACCAATCAGCACAGGATGGGGGATGTGGTCAGCATCACGCTAACCGCCTTTACTTCCCAGAACTGCACCAGGTACCCACTCAGTGCTAGGTCGACCTGGGATGCAAAGTCATTTTTGAAAAAAAGTCCGGCTCTGCCAGGGAGCGAACCCGCAACCTTCCGATCATATTCCAGCACATATGCAAGATATCATCCTATACTTAGACTGTCAACTGGAAACAAAAGTGTCTGCATCCATATATACAGGAACTCAAAACTTTGCCCCTGTGGATGGGAACCACAGAGTAGTGAACATGTGCTGCTTTACACAGGCATTAGATCCCAGGTCTGGTCAGTCAGCATTCAAGTGGAAACCATGCTGTATGGATCAGTGGAGGACATATGTCATTCCACAGCCTTCATAGAGGCCTCTGACCTCATCTGAAAACCACTGGCAGCGAGAATGAATAGTAGAAGCCCTGTGCTACTGCTGGTACCAGTTACAATAATTACTGATTTAAGAATTAGCATCAGAGCAGACCCAGCAGCCAGCGACAATGAGATACCTAAAACCCGTGGAGAAAACATGGCCAACTTGAGCTTCATTCCAGCCAGTTTTTAGAGTGCTGAGTTAACCCTGTTCCAGTTATGTCCTAGTGTGCCCCACCGTGGTGACATGGCCAACTTGAGCTTCATTCCAGCCAGTTTTTAGAGTACTGAGCCAACCCCGTTCTAGTTATATCCTAGTGTGCCCCACCGTGGTGACATGGCCAACTTGAGCTTCCTTCCAGCCAGTTTTTAGAGTGCTGAGTTAACCCTGTTCCAGTTATATCCTAGTGTGCCCCACCGTGGTGACATGGCCAACTTGAGCTTCATTTCACCCAGTTTTCAGAGTACTGAGCCAACCCCATTCTAGTTATATCCTAGTGTGCCCCACCGTGGTGACATGGTCAACTTGAGCTTCATTTCACCCAGTTTTTAGAGTACTGAGCCAACCCCGTTCTAGTTATATCCTAGTGTGCCCCACCGTGGTGACATGGTCAACTTGAGCTTCATTCCAGCCAGTTTTTAGAGTACTGAGCCAACCCCGTTCTAGTTATATCCTAGTGTGCCCCACCGTGGTCACATGGTCAACTTGAGCTTCATTCCAGCCAGTTTTTAGAGTACTGAGCCAACCCCGTTCTAGTTGTTTCCTAGTGTGCCCCACCGTGGTGACATGGTCAACTTGAGCTTCATTCCAGCCAGTTTTTTCGAGTGCCGAGTTAACCCTGTTCTAGTTATATCCTTGTGTGCCCCACCGTGGCGACATGGTCAAGATGTTTGCCTTGCACTCTAAAGGCCATGGTTTCATTTACCGAAAGTAGTTCTTATGGAGATCCCTGGGAACTGTCGCTGAAGATATTGAAAATGTGCGTTGTGTGATGCTCTAAGCAGGCAGCTAGCCATTCTGTAGCAAGAGACCGGGTGATGAGGGATACATCTGGTGCAATGAAGTCATTCCTTTCGATTTTACCGCTAAAGCCTCTTCAGCAGATGTTTATTTCCAATATCCATCTTACCAACCCAGCTGTTTCCTGAGCTTAGAGAGGAAAAGGAGAGCTTTGTTAACACATTCCCTGTGGACTGCTTTGCTAACAAGCCAAAAGAAAAATCTCTAAATGATTCACACTCCAATAGATGCAAGCTCTATTCACTGATAAAACATCCTGAATGCCAATGCATCTCAGAGTTCTGACAGTTTCTCAGAGGATTCTTCTTCTCCCCAGTGTTTACTAGCTGTAGACTCTGACAGAAAGCTCTAGTTGTTCACCCACTCCTAGGCTTTAGTTTTGATCCACAACTTGAGTTTTGCATGCACATCCGTTTTACAGATCTGGCTTTTTTGAATGCAGACTGTTGGTTCCTGGTCTCTCAGGCAGATGCACTTCAACTTTGAAGGAATCACCCCTAAATAGTTGCCTCTTATGACGTACTTGACAGTGGGTCTATTCCTTGTTCTCTACAATGGAGCTCTGGAACCCAAACAACGTGTCTTTCAACAAAAGTCCATCCAATCCATCTGTCTATCAGCAAAAGTCCACCCAATCCATTTTTCTATCAGCAAAAGTCCATCCAATCCATCTGTCTATCAGCAAAAGTCTACCCAATCCATCTGTCTATCAGCAAAAGTCTACCCAATGCATCTGTCTATCAGCAAAAGTCCACCCAAGCCATCTGTCTATCAGCAAAAGTCCACCCAAGCCATCTGTCTTTCAGCAAAAGTCCATCCAAGCCATCTGTCTTTCAGCAAAAGTCCACCCAATCCATCTGTCTATAAGCAAAAGTCCACCCAAGCCATCTGACTTTTAGCAAAAGTCCACCCAATCCATCTGTCTATCAGCAAAAGTCCACCCAAGCCATCTGTCTTTCAGCAAAAGTCCACCCAATCCATCTGTCTATCAGCAAAAGTCCACCCAAGCCATCTGTCTTTCAGCAAAAGTCCACCCAAGCCATCTGTCTTTCAGCAAAAGTCCACCCAAGCCATCTTTCAGCAAAAGTCCACCCAAGCCATCTGTCTTTCAGCAAAAGTCCACCCAATCCATCTGTCTATCAGCAAAAGTCCACCCAATCCATCTGTCTATCAGCAAAAGTCTACCCAATGCATGAGTGAATTTTTTTTTCAAAATCAGCCCAATCCATGTGTTGCTCAATAAACTTTTGCCCAATCCTTGTGTCTATTGGCAAAAATCTCCCCAATCAATGTGTCTGTCGACAATCATCCACCCAATTAATGTTTTTATCAATAAAGTCCACCGAATCTATGTGTATGTCATTAAGAGCCACCCGATCAATACATCTATGAACAAACAAACAAAACTTACAGTTCTGATTCTGACAGTGCAGCAGAATTTGTCTACATTAATGGCATCCAGGACAGCTTGCTCCCCACGATAGGCTCCGTTAACTATCAACACACTCTTACCTAGACATGACAGAAACTAGAAAGACTAAGCATCATATGAAATATCGTAATATCCTTCTAAATGCCACAATAGAGAGGAAAGTTCGAGGCAAAAGAACCTGAAGGCACAGACAACAATAAGATAAGGTCAATGTAGATCAGGGCTGGATACACTCTTTTTTCTGCCAATCTTGCCTTGCCTTGTTTTGTGGAGGAAAAAAAATGTCATATTCAACCAGCATCCCTGAATTGGGAGCTTTTGGTTATAATTGTGACTTAGGTTATTTGTGCCATATAAAATAGCTTATCATTGCTTGCCACCAAGGAGCCAAGACAAGGATTTTTGCAGTGTTGATGCAATCAAAGCAGACAGACCCAAATACTGTCCGACCGACAACAAAGTTGTTTACTGGAAAACCAATGGGCAACCCGGTCACAGATGCTATTCTGCCACAAGCCTTTTTTTAGCATCTATAACCAACTTTATAATCTCAGGCCGACCATCAACCTAAAGATGAGCCTGCTAAAGTATGCCAAATAATTAGATATCATTGCTCTGGCAAGGCAATAACATTTGACTTTAAGGGTCTTACATGGCTGGCATGACAACATGTACCCCGATGCAGAAAATGTCAAAATAAATAAGAAATTAATGGAGAACCGTTACTGCCAACATTCACTGGGGAGATGGCACTGTCTGGTGATTATAACTGCATGCATGGGTCATCTTTACAGCACCATAACAACTGTTCATTCTACAAACTGAATAACATAACTATGGTGATTTCAATTCTTCTTACTTTCTGTGTTCATTGGATGTAAATTCTGGTGGAAAGTTCCGGCTGTTCTGGAATCTATTCCTGTTCCAGAACTTGTGTTACGCATGAACGTATATTTTACAGACATGGCTTATTTATTTGCAGATTGCTGGTTCCTCGCCTCTCAGTCAGAGGCAGGCACTCTGACTTTGGAAGAAACTCCTAAAAAGTCGACTCATCATGCTTATTAGAAAGGTAGTGGGTCAAATTCACCCCCCCCCCCCCCCCCCACTGTTTCACCCCAAAGGCTCCAGAGCCAACATGGGGAGACCTCAGTTCAACATAAAAACAGTATAGCAATGCTGAGAAGTCCAGTCTATTTACCAACAATCTTTTCGTTATGTGCCACTTTCACAACAGAGCCACCGATAAAGTCCACCAATTCCATGTGTCTGTCATTAGAAGCAACCCAATCAATACATCTATGAACAAACAATTCACAACAGAGGTTGGCTGTGTGAATCATTTGTCTTGTAAACGTCTTTCTGAATATAACATAATTAGGTCCTAATCTCTGCCATCATGCGAATCTCATACAACTGTCTGAAAGCGATTAATAAAGTACTTTTGTTTAAATCAACTGCAGCAGAAATTTAACCATAGTACTTATGGGTTATGAGTTAAGAATCTACATCATAACTCTCAGGTCATTCTCATAAGCACTCCATCCCCATCTTCAGCAGCAAGTGCCCAGTTCTAATGGTACCAGCAATAGTCTGATTGTGTGTCCGCCTCACCCATCCCCTGAGTTTTGAGCATCTGCCAGATTCCCTGGCTTCATTCTCTTAAGACTGTGATGATCAATTTGTGCCTCCGCACTGTTTACTCACTCCATAAGGGTTCTTACATCTAGCTTGTCTTGCATGAATTTACCACCAAGTGGTGCAAAACCCAGCAATCTATCTGCCGGAAGAATACATCCACAGGGCGTTAACTACCCGGGACCTCTAGCGATGCTTGCCACTCTGCACAGAGCATACCTGTTGTACCTTTCTCTATAGACCTTTTGAGTAACCCTAGTACTTGAGAACTGTACCATGTGTTCACTAACCTTTAAGTCTCACAGCCATCTGAATTTACATACACAATAAACATTCTTCGTCTTCTTATATTTCCTGACTTGTGGCATTGGTAGTCATGTCTATCAACAACCTTCTGTCTCATTTCAATCAATTCTAACATAAATGATCCTCCATGCCATGAAGATAAACTGTTCAGCATCTTCTCTCTGTCTCCCTCTGCCTTTTTTCTGACTGCTGAACTCCTTCTCATGATAGGACCAAAGAATACCTCCTTCTGATGTGGCCAATCAGGTCTCTTTGTGAGTCAGTTTCTTTCTTCAAGACATCTTCAGTACTCCTTTTGATCTGTCCAGTGTGTTTTCATCATTTTATATAAAACTACATCTTTATCACTTCAACATAATCTTTTACTACCAATCACCCAACAGTCTATGATTCACTTCTGTATATCAGGACTGAATTTACTTAGCTCTTGAGAATTCTCGTTCTCACCTCAATTGACAAAGAAAGATACCAAAGAATATTCTTCATTTTGTGAAATGCGGCCTTTGCTTGAGCTGTTCTTTTTTCTTCTTCTCCATTTACCTGCTATTTTTCGTCCATTAGGACTTTGGCTTTGTGTCAGGACTGAGTTTTGTGTGTACAATTTTTCCCTGGCTTATCTGTATGTGCAGTTTACTGTTCCTTGCAGCTCGGGCAGACGCATTCCAACTGTGAAGGAAGTCCCCAATTTATTAACTCTTACAACATGTTTGCTGGGGAGGCAGGGAGTCTATTCTTGTTTTTCCGCACAACGGGAAACTTGAGCTATTCTACATTTAAATTCTTTATAAACATTTTCTATTGTAAAATTATTTCATAATTGTGCTAGGTCGCCCACTTATGAGGTACTTAAAATGCTAATCAGCAACAAAATATGACGCACGCAATGCAACTATTTAAGAAAATAAACAAATATACATTTGTAAATATGATAGACTATTTTCCATGCCTTGATGCAAATTGTGTGAATGGTAAACAAATAAAGAACTTATGTAATGTTCACACCTCAAAGGTAATCTGGTCATACAGTGTCAGCATCTTCTTTTTATAAACCAATCAAGCACTGACTAGGTGTTGTGCTTGGGGGAGGGGGTGGGGGTGAGGGGGAGACCAAAACAAACCAACTGCTTCCTAGTAAGCATGTCATAATGGGCGATTAATTAGAGGCTTGCTGAAATTGGCTGTGTTGGGCTGAAAGATACACAGCCTAGCCGTAAATCAAAATATAATATGTCAACCACCCATTTAAGGATTAATGCAGAAGCATAAGTTGCTATTATCAATATCATACTGGCCACGTTTACTTCAAGAACATTTCCTTGTACCCATTCTCAGGTGAATTTTGAAAACATGCCTTTAATAGGGATTCAGATAAATAACTAACTCATCAAAAAGCATGCAAACCACTATACTATCATGACGTCTGTAATAATAATACTAAAACAAATATTTAAATATTTTTTTATGCTACCTTAAAAAAAAAAACATACATACATACAAACTGATTAGACAATTCACACACAGATAAATAAAAAAGATTAAGAAAGGACAAATCAAGAACATACCAATTCCTGGTATGACGGTCTCCACATGTGTCTGGTCAACCTTCAGCTTGTCTCCAGAATCCAGCATCTTTATGATGCCTGTGTAACAATCCTTCACTTTCTGGTCATTGTAACATATATCTCTTGTTAGAACAGGTTTGACAGAAATTAAAAGGAGGATGGCCCTAGCAATGCAAAGATTAAACAGCGTAAAAAGTCTATGATTAAGCACCATCAAGGAGATCAAAATAGGAATTTTTAGAGCATGCACTTTCCCTGTAGCAACATACGGATGTGAGTCGTGGACTTTCTCTCAGTCCTTAAGAAAGAGAATAGGAGTTTTTAAGCTGAAATGCTATAGAAAGATTCTCAGAATATCTTGGACAAAGAAAAGGAGAAATACTGACATCTTGAAAAATCTGAACATCCAGGAAGATTGGCAAAAAAACAGCATCCTGTCTTGGAAGCTGAAATATGTTGGTCATATCAAGCGCCACGACGGATTGGGAAAAAATTATACCAGAGGGCATGGTACCAGGAAGAAGGGGCAGGGGCTGACCAACAGGGCACAGGATATAAGTGACTCCTTGAGTATAAAAGTACATGAGGCGGGAGAGCTGGCGAGAGACCGAGTTTTTTTCAGGCAGACTGTGATGAGAGCGACATTCTGCAAAGCACTTGCTACAGGATGATGATGATGTTAGAATATAAAGGGATAAAGTAAATAAAGAGTTAACTTAATGACACTAGGACATACTGAGAATGGTCAGTTGGTGGCTGGTTCCTCTTCTTCTTCGCATGCACCGGTTGTAAACTCTGGCAGAAAGTTTTGGTTGTCCATCCACTTTTAGACTTTTAGCCTTGTTCTAGAACCTCAGTTGTGTGTGCACATCCAATATACAGATCTGGCTTATTTGTATGCAGACTGTTGGCTCCTCATTCTCAGACAGATTCACTCAGACTTCAAAGGGAAACAACTCTAATTGATCAACTCTTACAACACATTTGTGACGGGGCAGTGAGTCTATTCTCCCCCTCCACCCATATTGAGGCCCCAGAACCCACATGGGCAGGTTGTTGGTTTAGAAACCATGCAAGATAAGGCAGATGTTATCAAGGCTCTTTATGAGTTCCTGAAACATGAGGAAGAATGAGCAGAATGAATAGATCATTACAGTCTGGAGAGAATGATGCAATGACAAGTGACCAAGAACCTGGCCAAAGCTTCAATGCTCAGATGAAACACAAGGTGGACACATGGCAACCCTTTTGCTTTGTTTTCTCACAGCATCTGACTGATACTGCTTTGTTTTCTCACAGCATCTGACTGATACTGCTTTGTCAGGTAGTACTGTCTGGTGGTAATCATCTAGCCCTTAATTAACCAGGAGCAAATCCTCTGAATTTCTGCCCAGGGTGTTCAGGATAAGGAGCAGGCTGATAAACTGGCTGCTGCTTTTTCTCTGGGCACTAAGCAATTTTGTGATGGTGAAAGATGGACACTGCTACAGAATGGGTAGAGTATCCATACGTGGAGAGACTGATTCAGCAAGAAGTCAGTAGAGAGTTTAGATGGCATTCAACGCAAAAAGGTGGGAGGGGGTGAAAGGGAAGGGGGGGGGGGGGGGGAGGTGGAGGTACATTTTTAATCAACTTCTAAGGTGGCATCATCAGCATAGGAATATTTCATTATCAACCGAGGAAATAGACAAGACATGTGCAGGATGCTTCCAGGTGCAGAGATGTTACATTTGTGATTAATTCATTCATAAACAATTGTTATCAGCTCCAAACAAACAGCTGTGTATTTTCAGTAAGGTTAATCTTTTGGTCTTCCCATATACTAGGTCATAACATTCTGATGTCGTGGTGTTTAAGTTCTCTTTCTCACAACCTTCGCAAAACTAGATTTTTAAGGAGCTCAACCACCAGCATTTTGGACTGAATCATATACTAGTATGGAAATGACCTTCATTGTCAGAGCTCTTCTGGAATCTTCAAGTAGAAAATTGAAAACCATGTTGACAACTTTGCAATGCAACCTGTTGAATGCTGAATTAAGAATCGACATCACAGCACGCAAGACACCCCCATAAGTGCTCCATCCCCATCTTCAGCAGCAAGCGAAGAGTTAAAATTCTGAAGGTACAAGTGTCTGACTGTAAAAGCAGTGCAACCTAGATCCGAACACAATTAAACTAAATAAAAATGAAATTATAAAACGGTGTGATCTATCACTCTTGTTACAATAAAGTCATCTTCTTCTTCTTAGCATTTACCAGCTGTAAACTCCGGTAGAAAACTCTGGTTGTTCATCCACTTCTGGGCCCAGTCTTGTTCCAGAACTTGAGTGTTGCATGCACATGCATTGTACAGATCTGACTTATTTGTATGAAGATTAGTGGTGCTATTATTTATACAGACTTTTCAGTGTCAAAAGGCAACAGAAGTGTTTGGGGTTTCTTTGCTAAAGTTAATGGTCAACGTTTTGTGCAGGAGAGCCTAGCATATAATACCACAACATCCAGCTTCAGAATGGAGGTGGAGGTGATCACCGCAGATTTTGGCTGGTTAGAGAACACGACACACACACATATCATGATTGAAACAGACTCAGAAAGAATGCTGAGGACACAGGTGAGTGTTGTCTGGGCTTTTTCACCAGGCGACACTGGTGTGTTGGAAAATGAAAAGGGGGACAGACTGGCTGGCTCTGCACAGCTTGGTGGAATACTGATGCATGATAAGGCAGACATGGTTAGTGACTTGTGGGAGCGCGTGTACAGTTCGGAAGAACAGATGGATCACCAGTATGGTGAGACTGATGCAGCGGGGAGTGACGGGAGTTCTGGCCGATGCTCAAGGCTCAGAGGAAAGGCAAGAGAGATGTTTAATCAGAATGCTACTGGCACCATTATTGGAACTCTGGACTGGCTGCTAAAGATGAGGATGGAGCGCTTATAGGAATGCCAGAGTGCTGTGATGTCGGTTCTTGAATCAACTCAACTCAGACTAGTGGTGCCTTGTTTCTCAGGTAGATGTACTCTGATTTCAAAGGAAACCCCTAATTAGTCAACTCTTACATCAGGCTTGTTAGAGGGGCAGTGGAATTGTTTACCCCTTAACGGACCCCGGAACCCACACAGGAAAGCCAATTAATAAATAAAAACTTCTGAAAACATATGCCCTAGGAATAATAAACATTAAATGAAAGGAATTCAAGAAAGGCAGAGAAATCAGAGAAACATCTGGGCAACCACTTTTATCAACAGTCATAAAACAAAAAAGATGGCAATATATTAGGCACATTCTGAGATGAGCAAAGAACAGGACCAGAAATGGATTGAAGAGGCAAGGATGTCCTACAGAAACCCTAGGATAATTGCTAATAACAAGGTCAGAGGTGTTGGACTAGATTCCATACACGATTTTGAAATGACTGCACAGAACAGAATGGACTGGAGGACTCATGTGAGCTCAATGTGATGTATAAATGGTACAACAGGATAATGATGTGTAGTCTTGTTATCACTCACCTTAACCACAGCTTTCTTCTTGTAGTACTTGTCTCCGAGCTTTTTATGAACAACTTTCACCACAATACCAGGGCATAACCAGTAATCTTTACGGTTCAGCTTTTCTTTTTTCATCTCCTCTGCCTATAACATTCAAATAAATGCAAATAAAGATAAGGACAAACTTAAGGGTGATGGTGTTAACATTTCAAAAAGGCATCAATATAAATGAATAAACAAACGTTATTTTCAAAGGGCTAAGGATGAATAAACAAACAAACGTTATTTTCAAAGGGTTAATGATGTGGTCAATATTATTTGACTGATTCCCCAGGTAGATTCCACGGCCCCATTGCAGGGAAGACAAGAACAGACCCACTGCCTCCCCCAACACGTACGTCATAAGAGTAGATTAACTGGAGGCTTCCTTCAAAGCAACAGTGCATCTGCCTGAGAGGCAAGGAACCAACAATCTGCATACAATTAAGTCAGATCTGTTAAACAGATGTGCATGCAACAATCAGGTTCTGGAACAGGGATTAAATCCAAAGGTGGACAAACAACCAGAACTTGCTGTCGAAGTTTACAGCTGGTGAAGAACAAGAAGAAGAAGAAGAAGAAGAAGAAGAAGAAGAAGAAGAAGAAGAAGAAGAAGAAGAAAAAAAAAAAAAAAAGATTAGACTGCATTTATCCCAAAGAATATTTCTTGATACCAAATTTTAGGTGAGGTCAAGTAAGATGTCTGCAAAAAAAAAAAAAGGGGGGGGGGGGGGGGGGGGGGGGGGGGGGGGGGGGGGGGGGGGGGAGGGGGGGGGGGGGGGGGGGGGGGGGTAAAGTATTTTTGATGTACCAGATTTCCCCAAGCATAAGACACACTTATTTTCCATAAATACGTGGTCTAATAACTTCTTCTTAAAGAGTCCTTGCCATGTAGTCATGTCTACTGACAACCTTGTGTCTCGTATACTTTCAATCTACTCTGACAAAGATAATCCTCCATGTCATGATGTCAAACTGTCCAGTCAGTTCCTGAGTCAGTTTCTTTGAAGACATCCTCCTTTTTCTTTTTATCTGACCAGGGTATGCTTATCAATCGTCTATCAAATGACATCTTCACAACTTCTATTCTAAATAAATTTTCACTAATCTACCTAACTGTCCATGACAGTTGACCTTGATTTAGATGTCGGCGTCTGTGGCTTAGGCATTGGAAACAAGCTTTATAATGCTGGGGTGTCGTGTTCGATCCCAGCTGCAAGTCTTGTGTTAGCTTCGACAGTGGTATCGAGAAGCCGACCATCTAGAAAGCAATGGCAAACTACTGGATGTAAATTTGCCTAGAAAAACCACAAAAGCCAAAAAAATTCTGGGGGTGGTTCTGCGACGTCCTGTAAAGGATACGCAAATAACTATATATAGATGAGGTCTAATCACAGTGTGCATCTCATACATTGGCAGTATCTTATTATTGTTATTTTTCATGAGTTCTGCAACCATGACAACACTGCAAGGACACCATGTTAAAAAGGGTGTGGCCAGATAAGAGCACTATGCAGGAAGCTAAAGAAGAATAAGAAACCAAAACAGGACTGGTGTCGTCAGCAATTCCACGCTGCAGGATTTAATGAGGGGATCTGAGCACTTATAGACTGAATGGTTTGATGTGCAATGGGGATAATCGGTTGACCACTAACGAACTTTAGTTTTTCTCCCAAAATTTCCAGCACAAAAATCAAGATGTATCTTATACATGGGAGCATCTTATACATGGGGAAATATGGAAGTTAATATTGCACTGGCCAGCTTTTTTTCCCCGGCCACTGTCTGGTATCTATTTTATGCTGGGTTGGTCTAAGAGCCAAGTTCAATTTTAGAAAGAAAAAAAAAATACAAATTGATGGGAAATGGAACCCAAGACCTTTAGGCTGGTAGGTAAGTGTCCAGCCACTATGGTTCCCCAAGAGCTCTAGGGGATTGGTAAATAAATTCCTGCCTTTAGAACCCACTACTGCTGTGTTAGCCACTGAAATTCCTGTAGCAACTCTAAAGACAACTGTGGGAGAAATGACCACACTAGTTCTATTATGTTATGTCAATCAAAGTCACTGCACACTGGACACTCTCAAGCTTGGTCAGTCCTCTGAAACCACAGCAACTCCCAATTTATGTCGGAGAACTGTGCATCGTAGAGTCTACAGTCGATAATGAAGACAGCATTGCTCTTGGTCACATCCCTGTTCATGCTCAATTCATGTCGGAGAACTGTGCATCGTAGAATCTACAGTCGATAAAGAAGACAGGATGGCTCTTGGTCACATCCCTGTTCATGCTCAATTCATGTCTGAGAACTGTGCACCGTAGAGTCTACAGTCGATAATGAAGAGACAGGAAGGCTCTTGGTCACATCCCTGTTCATGCTCAATTCATGTCGGAGAACTGTGCATCGTAGAATCTACAGTCGATAAAGAAGACAGGATGGCTCTTGATCACATACCTGTTCATGCTCAATTCATGTCGGAGAACTGTGCACCGTAGAGTCTACAGTCGATAATGAAGAGACAGGAAGGCTCTTGATCACATACCTGTTCATGCTCAATTCATGTCGGAGAACTGTGCATCGTAGAATCTACAGTCGATAATGAAGACAGGATGGCTCTTGGTCACATCCCTGGTCCCTACTTGGGACAGACGCCCTTGTAAGGCAAGAACAGGTTAGCTAACCCACATTATTGTATGCTTTCAGTATGGTTGACAATATTCCTACTCAATTCCCACAGGAGAATTTGGGCATCAGTGCCGAGATCTGATACTAATTCTACATGCAGCTTGTCTAATTTTATTAAATTGTGAATTATACGTGAAAAACAATAAAAGGGGAAATAATTCTCTAAAAATAAATACACCCACCTCCATGATTTCGTCCAAAGCAGTTTTGGCTTTCCTCTTATCGGCCTTACTTTGGGAGGACTCTTTAGGTTTGCTGGATGCTGCTGGTGCTGCTGCTAGTAGATTTTTGGATGCTGCCAGCCTGGTTACAAATTAGAAGCAACGGTTCAGTCACACATTACAACAGTCCTGAATCACCATCCTCAAGTTCTTTGGCTGCTGGGATCAGCGATTATGTGTCTCCCTATCTCACGACCTCCCACAGAATGTATCTTCTTCTTCTTCTTCTTTATGTTCACCAGCTATAATTTTTTCTTGGGGAATTAACTAAAAGGGTAACCAATTTATACAAACAGAGTGAAGGATTAAATGGAACATATTCCCCGGGCCCTGAGTAACTCATACTGTGACCTCTCTGGAATCATAATACTAAGGTAAAGGCAATTTGTGACATCAAAATGGTCATTTTGTTCACGAGAAAACTCCTCTAAATATTATTTGCACTAAATATATACATATCTGGGTCTTTTAAACACCGTACAGGCACAAACAGAACCTGACACTAGGAAAGTCCCATTTGCAGGACCGAGACACTGATGAAAATGTCGAACTGTATCTTTTCAGGACGACAAAAAGGGTCTAGCAATATCATTAAAGATAATGTGTGCCATGACTCTTATGTGCCATGACTCGTATGTGTCTTGACTTGTTTGTGCCATGACTCATATGTGCCATGACTCATATGTGCCTTGACTCCCATGTGCCATGACTCATATCAGCCATGACTCATTATGTGCATTGTCTCGAATGTACCATGACTCCTATGTGCCATGACTCATATGTGCCATGACTCATATGTGCCATAACTTGTATGTGCTATGACTTGTATGTGCCATGACTTGTATGTGCCTTGACTCATTGTGTGCCATGACTCATACGTGCCATGACTCGTATGTGCCATGACTCATACGTGCCTTGACTCATATGTACAATGACACATATGTGCATTGACTCATATGTGCCTTGACTCATTTTGTGCCATGACTCATAAGTGCCATGACTCGGATGTGCCTTCACTCGTATGTACCATGTCCTGGAATTATAAAGTGAGGTCACTAGCTACCATTGTTTTCTGCTTTTCAAACAATTGAGTACAGGTCCTCAACCAAACACTAAGGAATCTGTAGACATTTATGTAATTGGTCAGATTTTTCAGCTAAAGTTTTTCTACTTATTTCACACCATCTTTGCTAGTTGTCTTTTTCAAGACAAGTTATAGTGTTACCAAATAGAGATTATTACTCTCCGATGTGGGTTCAAAAACATCCGGGGGGGGGGGGGGGGGGGGGGTGTCGGGGGGGTGTCGTAAAAGCTTACTAGTTAAGGATTAGCTTAAGTTTGATGTATTGGGCCAAAACGTTTGGATGAGTGAATGAATCAAGAATTGCCCTCACTGTACTCAGAACATTATGTTTCCTTCTGAAGTAGCCAATGAAGAGTCAAAATCCTGAATTTGTCTTTCAATGCATGGTTTCTTTGTCTGTACTTTCCATCTCCTCCTCCTCCGTCTTCTTTTTTCACTAGCTGTAAGCTCTGGCGGAAAATCTTGGCTGTTCGTACATTTAGACTTTGGATTTGCGGCAGGGCCTGAGTTTTGCATGTACTGTCCATCTGATCCCACAGAACCTTCATAATGTCCGCTCCCCCATAAAGTAGCTCACTACCCAGACGAGTAGCAGTAGCCACTCTTGGGACATGGCATCCACCTCAAGTGCTGGATGTCCCAGGTTCAAGCCCCGGTCAAGACTGAGATTTTTTCATGTGGACTCCTAGTAATTTCCCCTGGTCCCTGGGTGGTAAGATCGGACATCCCATGTGTAAAAAATCTCCTGGCAGTTGAAAATTGAAACGAGTAGCCTAACGCTGCTACCCAGGCAAAATGTGGAGTTGAAAATCTACCCAAAGTATTTCAGGATCCTCGCCTAGGCAACGTTCATGCACCGAGATACTTCTAACTCAGGCTTGGGATAGAAGTATAACAAAGCACTTATGGGTTACACCCGTGTGCCATGATGTTGATCACTCGACTAAATTAAAATAAACTCAATGTACCAACTGCCTTTTCTAAATGGAACAATGCAAAAAAAAATTGTATATGAAACAATCACTTACTCTGCAGGTTTGGTTGCTGTATCTGCCTTCTTGGTTGCTCCCAAACTGAAAGCCACCTTCTCATTTTCATCGTCTCTCTTCAGTTCTGTATATTCAGCATCTTCTTTGCTGGGACCTGCCTCTTTGGCCTTTTCAATCTGTCGCTCAATAAATTTGGCTATTTTCTCATCGTCAGTGGCATCCATTTTCTCTTTGGCTTTCACAGCTTCCTGTCTACGAATAGTTTCAGGATCTCTGTCGATGTAAGCAACAAACCAGCCTTTCTCTGTGTAGTCCACCGAACATTTTCCTGAAAGCAGAAGTTTATATACATAAGTTTATGTCGCGAGACGCCGCTTCAAGTAGACAAGATACTTTTGGCTGACGTACCACCCCTTTGTGACCATTCTATTTTTCTCTCTTACATGCGCCCAGTGACTTCATTTTCGTCATAAGACGCATTGAGAGATATCCCGGTTATAGCCTACGGTTGCTGTTTGGGGATTTTCCATTGTCCTACTTGTAATTCCCCTGAGCTTTCACGTATAAAAATATACGGCTAGTAACTCGGCAACGTAGCGGGGAAAACCCTGGCCAACACCGGAAATCCCGCAGTGAGACAAGATTGCCAGCCATTTTACTTCAGGTCAGCAAGCAGGTGTTAGAGCGGGCCGTTTTGGCAGAACTTTGTCTTTCTCGCCGCCTAAAAACCCTAGCAACATGACCATATAGTTACATCTAAATCCAGGTGAGCACAGTAACTGTTAATTAAATCGTGATTTCAGTTTTCGGGCCGCATTTCGTGTACAATATTAGAATTGTACCAGACAGAGGAAAAACCACGCTGACCCATTTCTGCACATGGACAGGAAACCATTTCTTTATGATCTATTCCTGATTCCTATTGTTCGGTATCTAGGAGGTTACTTCTGTTTGCTGTATCTAAGACTCTTAGGAAATTATCTATCTTCTATTGCTGGTAGATGAATGATCTATGGCTGGTTATTAGAGTTTGTGTAGATAATGGTAACATTTCAATGGTAACATTTCATAGGAGACATTGTTCTTCTCATGCTCATACTTCTATAATTCATAATGTTTGCTTGTTGTAGTAGTGCTGAATTTTGTTTTCAGGTTATTGATGTATTATTCATGATGTTATTAATGTATCATTTTACTTATACACAGCAGTATTAAATGCTGTGATTTTGAGGACATGCTGTCCAAGAAAACACCCAGTGGAATATCTGGAAGACAGGAAAGGCAAGCCCTTTTATCTAGAATTCTCAATATTTATAGAGAGAATTCTATAGCATTCTGTCTGATTTTGTGTTGCATTTATAACTGCATATTGCTGTCTGAGTCTGTGTAAATGAGTGGTATTATAATCTGCTCTGTCTAAGTGTTTAGGCATCTAAATTCCCTTGTCCCTTTTCTGGGGATATTCAGGCAGCTCACCTTCTTTCGCGAGCCAATTCGAGTCTGTATCTGAGTATCCAGGGACACTGTCTGCTCTTTGCACCAAAAGACAGTTGTCTCGGTTCCTAACAAGATAACACCACTTTAGTGAGTGTAAAAGGAACCTGTTCCGCGACAAGTGCGGCGCTCTCCAGAATAATAATCTGAGGCCACACAAGTGTGTCGGCGCCTGTTATTTAAAACCCGGGAAACCCTAGACAATTGAAATTTTATTTCATAAATTTTTTTAAATACTTAAAAAACTTTTACATTCCCTAGATTACAGGCACCATTTTTTATAATAGTGACTTACATAATTAGGGTTTGAAGAGTGGCAGTATTAACTGTTAAGTAAATGATAGTAAAAAATATGAACTGTTTATACTTACCTTAATTAGTGTAATATCACAATTAGGAAGTAGTCTGAGAATTTTTTTTCCCAATCTTGACTGCTTTAGCATTTGATATTGATTGTAAATCATTTTTATGTTGACATTCTATCATTTGACATTACTGTTAAGTTTATTTAATGTGTCATTGATTGCTGTGCAGTAATGTTTGATTACTTGCATTATTTTCAGTAACGTTCTCCTTACTGCTGTGGTCAGTTTTCCTTTTTTTTTTCTATTCTATCACCCAATCCTTCAACTATAAATACTCTTCTGGTTAGTCCTGCATGTGATCAGTTTCTCTTGCTTTGTAAATGAACAATCTAGACATTATGGACCGCCGGTCCAGGTTCTTAGAAAATGCAAGGATTTTTGGTGCACAAAGGGGCTATAGAGGACAAGAGTTAATGGCGTTCATACAACGCGAACAGGAAGGATGGGACTCAATGCTTGCTCGTCATGCAGCGGAGAGGGAAGAAGAAGAGAGAATACGGCAACTTGAAGAAGAAGAAGATGCTAGACAACTCCAAGAGGATGCAGCTGTCGAAAGAATGAAGCTTCTTCAAGAAAAGCTGCATAACTATCAACTACTTAGGCAGACAAAGAAGAGAGAACTGCAGTTAGACACAGGGAACGGTGAGAACAACATCCAGGTAGTTGAGGGAACTGACAACTCCCATACAGACACTCTGGTAGAAAGGTCAGGGACTCACTCTCTCAATGGAGAGGTGTGTACTATTGCGCCAAATGGTACCTCATCAAATGATGAAGTAATAGACCACCCAAGACCTTGCCTCACCTCTCTTATTCCTTATAGGAAAAGAGTGGACATCAAGAATTCTTTGACAGGAATCAGATCTACATTGCTGAACCCCTGTATTCTCCATTGCCCTGATAAGCAAAATGAGAAGCCTCCTGTCCCCACAAGGAAGCGAGGACAGAAAACAAAGAAATCTTCAATAGGGTTCAGATCCACATTGCTTTTTTCTTTCATTTCCCTTGATGCAGCCACATGCAATAGGGAGATGAGTATCAGTTCTGATTTGGCATCCCAGATGGGTGACTGTGATGGCAGCAGCACTCAACTTTATTTACTCCCTCTGGACTTGGCCCATAAAAGCTTGACCAGGGAGTAAATAACCGACACAGAGGATACTTTCCCTGAGGTCTTTGCAAAGTATTCTGGGAAGGAAACTATTGATGAGCAGGAAATTCCTGTAAGCCTTATTAACTTTGAAAATGGTCAAACAGCACTGTTTGCCATCAACACAAAAGAATGTACTTCTTTTGGGCAGGGAGAGAGCCTATCTCTTGCCTGTGCAGCTGACACCACAGGGGAACTTCAGATGAAGGACATTGTGGCTGAACAAGCCAAGAGTAAAAGGGAAACCAAACACTCTGGTCTTAGAGTACTCTTCACTTCGAAAGATGCGACAGGAGTAACTCAGCTGCCGGTAGAAGCTTCGGTCCGAAGCAATACCACCTTAGCATCTTCAGAAAACGAACCACTTCTGACTAATGTGACTGTATTTACTGAACTACTTTTGTGCTCTGATTCCGAAAGGAGCTCTATTCATGAGAAACTCACCCCGATAAATTATGAAGGGGAGGACAGAATGCACACAGGAGGGGGACAAGTTGACCCCCTATACCAAGAAAGAGTCAGTGGTAAACTGCGCCAACCTCATGGTACCTTGATGGACGCCATCCCTTATACCAAAAGGAAAGTGACAGATTGTACCAAGATTGATAATGGGTGGAGGAGAATAGCGGAAGATAGTTGCACTGTGACTCTTCCATACAAGCAGTCCCTACAAGCTCTACCGCTTTTGATAGGGCAGAATCTAGGTACATTGTGGGTTAAGACTTGTTATCAGGTTGGCCTTGGTATCTCAGCATCCAGACCCACGAAATCATTGATTCTGGGGGATGCAATACCTCCGGACAAACGGTCAGTACACCACTGGTGCATGCATTTTAAGCACATCTACTGGACAAGATATTGTCATAAAGACTACTGGAAATTCAGACCAGTGGAAGTCTTGGGAGCCAGAAAGTGGTAGTCTGGTATTCTTGTTCTACTTGACAGCGATCTTAGCATTCTTACAGAAAGCTTCGAAAGGGGGGCTTCTGTCGCGAGACGCCGCTTCAAGTAGACAAGATACTTTTGGCTGACGTACCACCCCTTTGTGACCCTTCTATTTTTCTCTCTTGCATGCGCCCAGTGACTTCATTTTCGTCATAAGACGCATTGAGAGATATCCCGGTTATAGCCTACGGTTGCTGTTTGGGGATTTTCCATTGTCCTACTTGTAATTCCCCTGAGCTTTCACGTATAAAAATATACGGCTAGTAACTCGGCAACGTAGCGGGAAAAACCCTGGCCAACACCGGAAATCCCGCAGTTGAGACAAGATTGCCAGCCATTTTACTTCAGGTCAGCAAGCAGGTGTTTAGAGCGGGCCGTTTTGGCAGAACTTTGTCTTTCTCGCCGCCTAAAAAACCCTAGCAACATGACCATATAGTTACATCTAAATCCAGGTGAGCACAGTAACTGTTAATTAAATCGTGATTTCAGTTTTCGGGCCGCATTTCGTGTACAATATTAGAATTGTACCAGACAGAGGAAAAACCACGCTGACCCATTTCTGCACATGGACAGGAAACCATTTCTTTATGATCTATTCCTGATTCCTATTGTTCGGTATCTAGGAGGTTACTTCTGTTTTGCTGTATCTAAGACTCTTAGGAAATTATCTATCTTCTATTGCTGGTAGATGAATGATCTATGGCTGGTTATTAGAGTTTGTGTAGATAATGGTAACATTTCAATGGTAACATTTCATAGGAGACATTGTTCTTCTCATGCTCATACTTCTATAATTCATAATGTTTGCTTGTTGTAGTAGTGCTGAATTTTGTTTTCAGGTTATTGATGTATTATTCATGATGTTATTAATGTATCATTTTACTTATACACAGCAGTATTAAATGCTGTGATTTTGAGGACATGCTGTCCAAGAAAACACCCAGTGGAATATCTGGAAGACAGGAAAGGCAAGCCCTTTTATCTAGAATTCTCAATATTTATAGAGAGAATTCTATAGCATTCTGTCTGATTTTGTGTTGCATTTATAACTGCATATTGCTGTCTGAGTCTGTGTAAATGAGTGGTATTACACTATCATCCTGAAGGACAGAAGATGGAAGACATTCATCTGGACTGGACAGTAGTCAGAAGTGGAAGCTATGTAAATGACAATGCTACTAGACCATTATCCCACTTCTGACAATATGAAGAGAGAGGGGAGAGTGGGGAATATATTTTATTTTGCAAAACAGCAGGGACTATATATTTTTTTGATTGTTTCCATCCCTAGCTGCTGAAAAGCCGAGGACAGATTCCTTGTTCCTTGTGGCAGGACGAGCTTCCAAACCACTGCCAGGCTGGTTGTAGCTACTGATTGGAGTGCCCTAAGGAAGATCTTGGTGCTTGGGACAGATCCGACATTCCACCTCAGTCTTTGAAATGGATGATCCTCTGGGAAACTCCAGGTGGTAATTGTTGTATGTTATTTCCCACTGATCCTCTCATGACGACAGTTTCATGTTACTATCATTTTTATCTTTCATCCAACTTAGTTTGAATAATGTATTTTCAAAAGTAAATAGATGATTGAATTTTACTTTAATTTTAATAAACATTCCTATGATTGATTTAAACTCATAGTTAAAGTTTATTTCTATTTCTAGATGTATGTATGGTGTCAGTGCTGTCTACCAATATACATAGTCTAGATGGGGGCTTAATTTTATTACCAGAAAGGGAAATTGTCGGGAGGGGTAATCTGCTCTGTCTAAGTGTTTAGGCATCTAAATTCCCTTGTCCCTTTTCTGGGGATATTCAGGCAGCTCACCTTCTTTCGCGAGCCAATTCGAGTCTGTATCTGAGTATCCAGGGACACTGTCTGCTCTTTGCACCAAAAGACAGTTGTCTCGGTTCCTAACAAGATAACACCACTTTAGTGAGTGTAAAAGGAACCTGTTCCGCGACAGTTTATTACCACCATCATCATAGTCTCATAACAATGTCTGTCACTGGGTCACCAGCTGTTGTTGCTGACTACCTGCTCAGTTCCCTCCACCTCTGTCAGAGGCAAAGGACCTCAGCCTTTCGCCCAGAGAAGCTGCAAAACTGACACTGCCGGCTGGGCCCAATTCCCCTTAAAATCACTTTTCTGATTTACCTACAGTGACCTGTTTACGAGATGTATAACTGATTCTACTGGCTGATTTCATGCCTGCTCAAATGTTTAAGAGGTCATGATATGACAGCAATAACTAAAATAAGCTTTTATAGGGGATTCCTTTGAGCGAAACTGCTAATCTAAAGCCAAGTTGCTATCAAATTTTCTGGTAGCCTCGATGACTGAGGTCACAAGGTCACTGCATGAGTTAGTCGATACATGTGCTTTTTTGTTTCCAGACCTAGGAATGTATTTAATTAAATGCCTGACCCTGTTCATGTTAACTGATTAGTCGCTTTATATATCTTTATATACTCTGAGAAAAAAAAAAATTTGCAAATAAATTGTAACATTTTCTTGTGATTTGTGTAAAATGTTTATGTTAGGATTTTGTTATGTAACTCCAACCGGGTTTGGCCCGCTTTTTGAAAGAAAAAAAAAATTTTTTTTTAGTTAAGTGTGGTTTTGAAGAGGCCGGTAGATCTTGTCATGTGTCAGTATCACTGCCATCTTTTCAACAACATGCCAGTCATCTTTACTTTCGAAGTGTATTGATCTGCACTTATTTATTTATTTATTTACTTTCGAAGGCACTGCCTGGTACCCATTTTAGGCTGAGTGGACTTAACGGCTAAGATCAATTATGGAAAAGAATCCTATCAGTGAGGATCTGAACTAAAGACCTTGTGGACAGTGGGCTAGCATCTAGCCACTACACTACCATTAGGCTCAGTAAGCGAAAGTACCACTACTATAAAGATACACTGTGACCCAATAATGAACTTACTCCAAAAATGCCTTGACATCTTTGTTTTCTAATAATAAGCGCCCAATATTTACACATCATTGGGATGCTGCATACTATCCATATCACTGTATACTTGTAGGCCTATAACACTGAATAACAAACAAGATCAGTCATAAACTGGAGCCAACAAAGATGTGGTCAAATGCTAAGAATTACATTGACAGAATACCAGTATATATACAATACACGAGTACTTCAAGAAACAAATGCATAAGGAGATAATTTCTTCTTCTTCTTAGGTTTACTGGTGGAAAGTTCTAGTTGTTCATCCACTTTTGAACATTGTTTTCAAATTTCAGTTTTGCTTGCACATTATATTTAAAATCTTGCTTATTTGAATGCAGACTGCTGGTTCCTCTCTTAGAAGAAAAAAACCTCTAATTAGTCGCCTTTTACAACATGCTTGTTACAGGGGCAATGGCTCTATTCTTATTTTTTCCCAAAGAACCTGAGCGGGAAATAAAGATAACTGACTACCCTCATGCGAAAGCAACAGTAAATTTTTTAAATCACATTATGAGACTACAGAATCATGTAAACTATGATGACTGTGTCAATCCAGTATCTTAGATGTGGAGGTCAACAAAGACAGACAGACATACAGACAACACTGACCGGACTGGTGGAATGGTATGAAAGATGATGGGCAGTTAAACTTATCACAAACATGAAAGAACAGTAATTTGTGGAAGAACATGACTGTCTGAAAATTATAATAATGATAGTGCACAGATCATTCTTACTGCACGTTAAACCATTTAGTCCATACGTGCTTGTATTCCCTTTTCAGTTCATCCTGTTGCATGTAGCTTTTGCAATCATCAGCTCTGTGTTGGTTAATTCATAATTTTTTGTTTGGCTTCACTCACAATGCTGTTCTCTGACTTCACCCTGTTTTTAACCTTCTTTTTATGCAATCTGGTTGTAGTTGCAGATTCCCAGCCATCATTTAAGTCACACAAGTTTTACTTCTCATACACCGCTTTTGGTATATAGCCTGGTACATTTTGCTCATGTGCCCTCCACATCATCCCTGCCCAAAAGCATATCAGTATGATCATTTCCTCTAACACTTCCACCCCTGGCACAAACAGGAAAATTACTATGATGATAATATATTTACAGAAAAAGAAGACAACAAAGAAGAAAACAAAGAAGATAACGAAGATGATAAGAAAGAAATTGTTTCAAATAACAAATCCACAATGTTAAAGACATGAGGGAGACCTCCAGTGCTGTCATACCTTCCTTGGGGTATTGGGGGTAGTCGAAGAAGAGGAGGGCAAAGAAGAATCTGGAATGATAACATCAAGAAATGGACAAACACTTATTCATCAAGCAGAAGACAGAGAAAGATGGCGGGTTTTATGCGCTAGTGCTTCCATCAATACACCTTCACGAGCCTAGTGGGTCAAGGATTATCTTATGTTATACCTTCCTTCCCTAGATGTTTCACAAAGTCTGTGAGGGTCTCCCACTGGGTGGAATTCATGTGAACATGCTCTCTGAATGAAATATACTCCTGGTACACAAGATTAGCATGTACACGCTTTGTACCAAATCTTCGTCTAAGCAGCTCCAGGTACTCAGTCTCAAAGTCTCTATTGAGAAAAAAAAAATGAATAGTGATTAGAAACTTCCTAGAAAAAACATATACAGATCACAGATATGAGAGAATTTTGTTTTTAAAAATATTTTTCTTCTTTTTTTCACGATGACTATGGTCAAATAAGTTCAGCGAACAGCCTGGTAATTTTCTGGAGTTGTTCTTTATAAACTGGAGTTCAGTACTAATTCCTTTCACCTGTTCTTCTTCTTCTTCTTCTTCTTGTTCACCAGCTATAAAGTCTGGCAGAAAGTTCTGGTTGTTCATCATCTTCTGGAATGCAGTCGTGTTCCAGAACCTGGATGTTGCATGTGTATCCGTTTTACAGATCTGACTCATTTGTATGCAGACTGCTGGTTCCTTGCCTCTTAGGCAGATGCAATCCGAATTTGAAGAAAGCTTCCAATTAGTCGACTCTTACGACATGCTTCTGGGTAGGCAGTGGGTCTATTCTTGGTTTCCCTACAAGAGGGCCCTTGAACCCATACAGGGAATTTCACCGGTTCATTTCTCTTTGCTACAAAGAAGAGAATCCTACGGATGAAACAAGTTCATCTGTTTGCTTGCGTAGTTCACAGGGGGAAAATATTAAAGCAATTATAAAGCAAATAAATAAAGCCTCAGTATCTGTGTATTGTCTGTTAGCTCCTTCTGCACTGCTTGGCAATTCCTGGTTCGATCCCAGCTATAGACGACTTGGTACCATACCAGGTCGCCTTGCATTGGTTTTGACTGGTATCGATAGCCAAAACTACTGAACATCACACTAAGTAGTGAAACCTCAAACAGCCAAAACTACTGAACATCACACTGAGTAGTGAAACCTCAAACAGCCAAAACTACTGAACATCACACTGAGTAGTGAAACCACAAACAGCCAAAACTACTGAACATCACACTGAGTAGTGAAACCTCAAACAGCCAAAACTACTGAACATCACACTGAGTAGTGAAACCACAAACAGGCAAAACTACTGAACATCACACTGAGTAGTGAAACCTCAAACAGCCAAAACTACTGAACATCACACTGAGTAGTGAAACCACAAACAGGCAAAACTACTGAACATCACACTGAGTAGTGAAACCTCAAACAGCCAAAACTACTGAACATCACACTGAGTAGTGAAACCACAAACAGCTAAAACTACTGAACATCACACTGAGTAGTGAAACCACAAACAGCCAAAACTACTGAACATCACACTGAGTAATGAAACCACAAACAGCCAAAACTACTGAACATCACACTGAGTAGTGAAACCACAAACAGCCAAGACTACTGAACATCACACTGAGTAATGAAACCACAAAATGCTGAGGTTTTCCTGCAACATGTAAAGCAGGGTTATTCAACTGGTGGCCTGTGGGCCAAATATGGCCTGCAAAGGCCTAATAAGAGGCCACTGAGGGCTAGCAAGTGGCTTGTGGATCATTGACAGTTGTACTGTATTACAAATCTTTTTATGCTGGGGCTCAAGCCTCCGGCCCCTTATGATCCACATTTTCAAAATGTTGTTGAACATCCCTGCTGTAAAGGATAGGCAAATAACTGTCAACTCCTGAGGTGAACAGTAGGGATGTATCGCTGTTTGTTAAGCACTGCTTTCTTCACCTTCTTGGTTCCCCATCAGCCATGTCAAGCATTGAATGCTGTCAGGGTTACCAACATGGTGGTGTGTCTATGGTTGCTGCCAGTTCCCCCACAGCTTCTCTTGTAATATGGCTGCATTTGACCAGATCTACAACCTGTGCCGGGAGTAGCTGGGGCAATCCTGCATGACATGTCTTCATTTGTATAGCTGAAATGCCCTGTTGGTCGGTCTTTACTTGTTTCCCAAGAATCGTATCTTCCATCTGTGTTATTTCTAAACCACTGTGCTATTTGATGTGAATAAAGTACTATTTATTTGCTCATTTGTTTCTATGTTCATATCTGTCCTTTTTTTTTCTCCTTCAACATTCCCAGCTTTTGAGGTTCATTGTTGTGGATAACACTTTCCTCCATTTACATCTGTACCCGGCCTTCTCCTTCCGGATGGTGACTCCAAGTGTTTGTCAGTCTGTCTGCAAGTCATCACTGTATACCGCTTTCTTGGCCGGCCTTATGGCCTACTCCTAATCAGGTCTTTAGAACGTCAATTTTTCCTCTATTTTAGCTTAATCCATTTAAAACATGCCATTTAAAAATACAGAACACAGTTATTCATTGTAACCAACATGCTAGAATTTTGTATAACATTTCGTTTTAAAAAATAAGTCTTAACTGTTGTGACAAACAAAAATGAAAACAAACAGTTTTGTGTGTGTGTGTTGCTGCCGATTTATCATCAGCTTTATAAAGACATCTGAGAGTACTGATGATGGGTTATAAAAATAATTATCTAATAAATAGGTTTAAAAAAAAAGTTTTTGAAAGCACAGAAATGTAGCCTTAATTAATAAGTTAACTGATTTATCATCCTTATAGCACAGGTCCATAGGATACTATTTTCAGTATCTCTCTCAGCTAGTGGTGACTGATAACATCAGTTCTGTGTCAGTTTCTCTGAATACCTGCATACTGTTCATATTTGGCAACCTCTCTTTTGACATGACGTAGCTGTAACTCTTTCCATATCAGAAAATTTTTACTCTAGCTCAATCCTTACAAGTTGTTGCTATCGGAATCTAATCAATGTTGGTTATAAGTGAGGTTGTCCCCTTGCGGTTTCCAAAGGTGCCAGGTTTGTAGCTTTTTAGGGCAAAGAAGTTTATAATATCATTATGTCCAAACATCCACAACCTTAATAACCTACTTGGAGAATTCATCAATATGCTTGTCTGGATTCTCTGCAAACAACAGCAATTGTCTTTGATGAGACTCAGAGGTCAGGTGACACTTGAAACCATTCTGAAATTATTTAAAAGTCAATTAGTCTCTAGTTAACTGTACTTCTCCAATCTAACAGATACCGGCAGCAGGAAAGAACAATTCAGTATATCTTCTTCTTCTGGTCACTGGCTGTAAACTCTGGCGGAAAGTTTTGGTTTTTTATCTACTTCTGGACTGCAGTCCTGTTCCAGAACCTGAGTGTTGCGTGTGCATTTGCTTTACAGATATGACTTATTTGTATGCAGATTGTTGGTTCCTTGCCTCTCAGGCAGATGCACTCCGACTTAGAAGGAAGCTCCCAAGTAGTCGACTCTTACGACATGTTTTTGAGTAGGCAGTGGGTCTATTCTTGTTTTCCCTATAACAAGGTGCCGGAACCCAGCCGGTAAAATAATTCAGTATACAATTCATTCTGTTTGTGAAATTCATCATCAGTCAGAAGGTCCTGTACAAAACATTTCTCTTGACATGGCACGCCTGAAAGTCTTTCTTTCTTCAGCCAATTCTCCAGCCCCATGTGCTTTCACAGCCAATGCATCTTCAATGTCTTGTAATCATCTTTGCGGAGGTCAGCCTGAGTTTGATTTTCTGGAAAGTGTGCCCTGCATCAGTGCTGTCTCCAGGCCACCATGATGTTTAACGTGGCCAAACTACCTCAGCTTCCAGAACAGGATGCTGTTTGTGAGCCAGTTCTCTCCTGTGCTCAGATCATGCAGGATGTCAGTGTTTTTGGTGCTTTATTAATATTCTACCCCAAACAGGGAAATTTACAGGTCACGGGACAGTCTAATATTTCAGGGGGTGGTAGATAGGCTGCATGCAGTCGTGGGACCTAGGCTGCACTCTCCGGTGGGACGTAGGTAGGTTGGGGTTAGGGCCAGTTCTAGATGTTTTGGGGTCGTTAAAAGCATCAGAAAGACGTTTTCTTGCTGAGATTTTAAACGAGGAGAATCAATCAGTGGTGACCCATGTTGAAACACAGTAAAGGACACAGTGAACAATGTGATTTGTGTGTTTATTTAGTTGAAAGGTTTCATTTTGTGCATCATTATATCTTGGTGTAAACTTTGGTGTATATATAGTAATAGGTTTCTTAGATGCATATACCAGATGCGCCACAGTTTTTTTGTTTAAAGTGCTTTGCTTTTACTAAACAATTGTGACCTACAACGGACAAGCAACACGATCATCCTATATCTCACATCTAAAACTTTAAATTACTGCACTTTCTTTGTGATGCAAAACTAGTATAATGATGCTAAAGAAATTAACACCCACAAACATTTATGTAATAATGAAAACAGATAAACAACTTTAAAATTTAACCCCCCCCCACCCCCCCCCCCCAAATCAAAGTGGTTTTTCTTTTCTTGTGTTCATCCGAAGACATAAATGCATTGACATGTTTACAACATGGCTACCATATTCTGGCCAACACATCTGACTTCTGCAGGCATTTGTTGCCCTGGTTACTTTATGTTAACGTGATTTTACTGTATTTTGTAATGATTTCTTGCTGTTACCTCATCTCTGCATTGTTTCTGGCACATCTGGCAATACCATCGTAACTTTTGAAGACCCTTTGCTTTGATGCGATTGGCTATTGCCTTTGGTGTCAAAAAGCCTGGTTTTGCCTTTCCCATGGTCTCAAAACTTCAAATGTGTTGAATGTCTGAAAACAAAAGATGGTTCATTAATAATATTAATAACTTGTTAGCTATATTTTTTTTCAATCTCAGTTTCATTTGGCTAAATTATATCAAAATGTGTTTAAAGTCAAAAGAAAAAAACTGTTAAACTATACAGACATTTTTTATAATTCAGAATTAAGGTAACACAGAATGTTTAAAATAATAGTCAAAATGTTCTTGAAAAGAATACAATCAATTAGTCAGGGATATTAGAAAATCAGTAAACAATGTTCAGTCATGCCATTGAATCTGGAATATAATAGCAGATAATATTAAAGAAAACAGATCCAAAGAACAATTAATAGAAAATTAGACAATGTTTTACCACTGGTGCAGAAACATGCAGTAAACAATTCATTTTCCTCGCAGAGATGCTAAATACAAGAAAAATTACTCACATATAGCATGCAGGCTAGTAAGACATTTTTAAAAAAAAAGATACAGAAGATGGTATGACACAAAATTTGTAAAACTTCATAGTCACACACAAAAAACTAGGCATTTATTGCTTACTCAATACAGAGCATCACTTCTTTAACTTGCTTCCATGTAGCAGGCAGTTGTTATTTAAAAATAACAATATAGAGAGCACGTCCCACGATAGAGACAAAAACACACAAATCAGTTCAACTTCAACACATCCTCCTTGATCTTTTAACTTTAACAACAGTATTGCCTTGCCAAACTTAATATTTATGAAAATTGCTACAAACAATTAAATCATAATTACTTGAATAACAAAACTGTTAGCTATAGTTTAGTCACAATGACTAATTAGTGATTAATTTAGTCTAGTCATTAATTAATAGTGCTACACGATCCAAGTGACTGACGAATCATTGACGTTCAAACAAAACAAACAAGACTGACTCTCGGGATGATGCAATGCAAAATAAATGCATTATATTACAACTACTGTAATTACAATAGTGTAACATGATTATTTATAACAAGTGCGTGGCAAAACTGCCACGACAAATTTTGATTAAATACATAAGATATTACATTTTATTTTAAATAGGCGGTTGTGAAAACACAATAAACTGTTCAATGTTGCTTACTTAGAGCTTGTTTGACAGAGTTATCTGTTTACACACTTCCGTTATTGAGAGTAACGTCCCATGGTTGGACTAGGACCACTATATGCTTGGGAGGTTTGACTAGCACAATATTCCAAATAATAAAATCAGAAAGAACAAAAAATGTGAGTTGCGACAAAAACTGACATCACAGCACTTGATGTATTCCCTGTGAGCGCTTCGTCCCCATCATCAGCAACCAGCGCAGAGTTTAAATTTCAATAGTAACTGTTTGATTCTATGTCCGTCTTGCCATGGAACTCTAGTAAAGAATTACGATGTAACTGTGAAACGCATTCACTAACCCTCAGACCACAGAACCGCGAAGTTTGATTGCATGTAGCCCAGCAATGAATTCTTCGCTGCCACTAGGAGCGTCGGATCACAGGATCCAGACTCCTTAAGCCACCCCACAAAAGGGGGGGGGGGGGTAAAGAGGCGCTTTATACCGAGTAACTGTTTCAGAGTTTGATTTTGGAGCTTCATACTTTATACTTTATACGAGGCTTTTGGTAGATAGCTAGCCATTCTGCTGAGAGAGACTAGTCTATGTACGATAAAATCCAGCGCAACGAAGTCGATCTTTTAGTCTTCAACTTTATTGTTGCCCAGCAACCGACTAACTTTGTTGTAGCCCAGCAACCCTTCCAGTGCCACATAACTCAACATACGTTTCTTGGTGTTCCAAAAAAAAAAAATGTTTTTGCTGTCTTCAATCACAGACACAAGTTATACAGTAAGACCTCGTTAACACAAACTCCAATGGATCAAACAATCAAGAGTTCGTGTTAAAAATCGTGCTAACCGGCAGGAGGGTTTAAAATGTCTGATGGTTTCCGGAGCGGAACATTTCCCATCAACCCCCCCCCCCCCTTTCCCCCCCATGTATATACCACCTGACATGTGTATGCCCCTAATATAAATATACATGACGAATGTCTCGGTCGTCTCTCTTTATTCATTCTCAGTACGTGTCCAGTCTACCTCCCTCTTTGTTTTTTTTTTTTTTTTTTGGGGGGGGGGGGGGTTTGTTGTTGTTGTTGTTGTTGTTTTCTAAATGTACATCTTCTAAGTTAAGTTTGTCATTTGTTGTAATCTAGAATTGATGATTTTATCTTCCACAGTGAACTCCAACAATCTTCTGAGAAGTCTTCCCTTAAAACCTCCGATCATGCTCTCTATATTTCTGTCTGTATTCAAAGTTTCTGCTCCAAAGTGGAGTACTGACCTAATGTATATTTTGTATACCTTGAGTTTAGTGTTAGTGCTGTAGATGTTTGATCTCCAAACACTCTGAAGTCTGTTGTAAGTAGCATTTGCCTTTGCAATTCTCTACTTGACGCAGAGGGTCAAAATAACCAAGACAGACTCATAAAGTGTGACGAGAAAGGAAAATAGAGTGAGGTTTTAAAAACATAAACGAGGGGTGGTCTGGGGTGAGCGGCATAGGATAGAACGACAACGTGTAAGTTATTTAAGGGCCTTTGCTCAACTAAGGCAATGAATCAAATACCAGAACTTTAGATACGAGAGTGGCGTAAATAAAACAGACCACAAATATAACTGGAGACAGCGGCTTCGGCAAGCTAACAGCAGGTTGAACGTGGTCGACTATTTAGGTTTTTGTTTTTTGTTAAATGGAATCGGAATCGGAATTAAGGCCTAGAGAAGAAGAAGAGGGATGCTGCTTTGCAATTTCTACATCTGGAATTTGCAAGTCGCTGGCGTATATCATGGATGTGAATCCTGGACAATCGGTAGGCAGGCCAAACAATTTCTTGAGGCCCCAGAGATGTGGTTTTACATAAGAAAGCTTAGAATATATTTGACAGCCAAAAAGAGCAACCAAGAGGTTTTGAAAGAGGTGGGAGCCTGAAGACAACTTATCACAGACATCAGAAGGAGAGTCATCATTTTTCGGTCATGTTATGAGAAGAGGGAAAATAGAACATGTTGTGACCATTGGAAAGATCTGTGGAAGGAGGGACAGAAGAAGGCAACGAGAGAAGATTCTTGACAGTCTTGTTGCATGGCGTGGAGGTGTGTCGGCACACAAACTGATACATGATGCAGGAGATGCATGATCGTGGATTAAGGTACCCTGGAGATGCATGATCGATGGCCACCTCCAATCGGAAGGTACCAAAATGATGATGATGATGACGATGGCGTATATCCAAATCCATCGCACAAAACATAAAAGTTAACGGGACTTAAGGTGGAGACAATCACTGCTGCCTTCCGCATATGTGGTAATTGTAAATAACTCACAGAGCATGTTGAAAAAAGTGGAGACAGTCATGCTCGGTGCAGAGTGGCAAGCATCGCTTCAGAGGTCCTGGTTAGTTACTGTTCTTTGGATGTTTTTTCCAGATGATGCTGGTGTATTGTGAAACGAGTGGGCGGGTAGACTGGATAGTTCTGCACCACTTGGTGGTGAATGTATGTATGACAAATTAGATTTTATGAGGGCCCTTTGGTAACGCGTGAACAGTGCGGAGGCATATTGCGGTCTAAAAGAGAATGGCGACCCGGGGAGCTACCAGGGGATCTGACCGACTCTCAACACACAAGGAAAGGCGAGACAGATTTACAGTCAGAGAGTTACTGGTACCATCGGAATTGAAACTCTTCCCTTGCTGCTGAAGATGGGGACGCAACGCTTATGGGAGTGTCCCAGGTGCTTTGATGTCGATTCTTAATTCAACATCTCACATTTTCAACGGATGTTGAAAAAAGCCCGACAAAGCTTTTTACTTATTTTTTTGTTGCTGAGCTAATTAGTAAATGTCGTGTGGTGGTGGCGGTAGTTCTGAGGTCCGTGCAGTGCTGTGATACAGAGAGACGTTCGAAGCAGGCGGCATCGTAAGAGGGCGGCATAAGCAGCAGGCTATGTTAAAGGGGGGAAAACCTTTAAAAGGTGGAATTTAGCAGACTTGCATCATACTGAGAAAATCTACCGCACGGCCCTGGCTCTGATGATAGTAGCTGTTGCTGCAGTAATGATGGTAGTTGTTGCTGTAGTAATGATGGTAGTTGTTGCTGCAGTAATGATGGTAGTTGTTGCTGCAGTAATGATGGTAGTTGTTGCTGCAGTAATGATGGTAGCTGTTGCTGCAGTAATGATAGTAGTTGTTGCTGCAGTAATGATAGTAGTTGTTGCTACAGTAATTATGGTATCTCGCTCTCTCCCTCTCTCTCTCTCTCTCTCTCTCTCTCTCTCTCTCTCTCTCTCTCTCTCTCTCTCTCTCTCTACTTTTCCCATAACCCTTGTATATTTTGTTTTTGCTCACATCTACGTTATTCTTTGCCATTTATCTCTCTTTCTATATATACTTTCCCCCTAACCCTAGTGAAGTTTATTCTTGGTCAAATCTTCCAGTCACGGTCTTCATGGGTCCGAATTCGTTAGCTGAACCCAAAATGAAAAGAAAATTGTGTTTAAAAAAAAAAAAAAATCTATGTCTGTTGACGGTGGGTGGGTTCTTGGGGTGGGGGTTATGGCAGGAGATTGTTCGCACCGGGTACGATCTAACTTTACAACGCCACTGGCGGAAGAGAGGAGCAATACAAAGCTACTGGATATGCATTTTCAAATATAATTAAGTACAGAGAACATGATACATTGTCTTCTGTTTGCCCTAACATACTAGTAAGCACACAGTGTAATGCAATTCTTTTTCTTTGGCTGGGGTCGGTAAGTAGTCAGCTAGAATGTCACCAAGCGTTGACGACAAATGAGCAGGGCTGCCAATGTAATTTTTTGAAAAACCCTACGAAAACCCAAGCAATACATAGACAAAGAACACACACACGCACGCACACACACACACACACACATACACACACAAAACCCAGATTGTTAAAATCTAAAAGTTACGAAACGAAACATTTACCACTTTTATATAAAAATATTTTAAAAAAAAACAGATTTCCCCAAGGCGTCTAATAAAAACCCAGATCTTGGGAAAAACCCAAGAATTAGCAGCCCTGCAAATGAGGAAGGAACAGCGATCCGGTGACAGTTAAAGAAAGAAGTATGCATGACCCCTGACGGTAATCTAGCAGCGATGGTATCATATTTCATATATACAGGTCACCATATTTATGAGGTAGAGTAACACAATCGTATGTCTCACAGCTTTTAATCTTTCGTTGTTTGAAACTCTTGTTGTTAATATTAATATTATAGTTACCGGAATCCTTGTCTATGCCATAGCGTAGTGTCACATGGCTATCCCCCCACCCCAAGCATACAAAGATTACCTCCGAAATTTAATTTCTAAAAAGGCAAGTAAAGTAAAGGACCCTTTCCCACCAATTTAAGGCGTATTGGGTATACAGGGCTAGACCTATATTTTATGGGTGATGTGGTCAGTATCACGCCGGCCGCCTTTACTTCTAAGGACTGCACCCGGTACCCAATCAAGGCTGGGTCCACCTGGCAGCCAAGGTCATTTTTTAAAAAAAGTCCAGGTAGCGAACCTACGACCTTCCGATCCGCGTCTAGCCGCTACGCCATGGCGACTCCCAGCAAAAGTTGGAGTTTGAAAATACAGACCAAGGGTTAAACTAGCACTTATTTAAGCCAACTGCCAACACCTCAATTCTATCTCCCAAGCGGTCTAGTGGCTAGGATTCCGCGTTCTCAAACAACCAGCCTAAATCCTGCAACGCGAAAGGAACAGATAAATGTGCCTGGGCACTTTATCTGTCAGTATTCTGCAGGCGGTTCCAATGGATAAACAACTTGTGACAGAGGCACTAAAACAAAGAAAATGCGGCGAGAAAATGTGGTGGGTTGGGGGGGGGGGGGGGGGGGGGAGATTCCCTTAACCTTTGCAAAAGAGCAGGGGTGACTGCGTTTGAAAATCTTCTTCAATCGCTTAATGATGATGATAATAATAATTTCATCGATAGTGGACAAATATAATAATATATTTGAAAAAACGATGGAATATATAAAGAAATACTTACGCTTGCTATACGTGGTTGTAGTGGTTCCCTTATAAATTGTGGGGGGTGGGGGGCGTTTAGCCTCCCTAAAAAATTGAGGGTGGGGGGGGGGCGTTTAGCCTCCCTAAAAATTTGAGGGTGGGGGGAGGGGGAGGGTGGCAAGAGTCTTAGATTGCAGATTTCAACACCACTGCGAGGATTCGGTCAAGTTTGATCATCTTTCCTTCGCAGGTTCTAGGTGTTTTGTTGTCAACATTCTTGAACCAAATTTGGTTCTTGGGCCTCAGCGAATTCCGTGTTTTATTTCACAAATGCAATTTTTCTTTTAATACAGCCCGGGAGGATTATATAATATAACTTATGTGATGTTTCAGCCACATTCTTTATTATTTCTTTTGCTAAAAACATGTTTTTGACGACAATATATTTTCATTATTCCTATATTTAAAAGGCCTATATGTTTTAAAGTTTGAGATTCAAAACAGTATAGGCCTCAGGGCTAATGTAGCTTGGGGCATCATGAAGTCTAAATCCTGGCTTGGAACCGTCTTCATATTGTTAAACTGTACACTATTTACAATGCAATCTTGATCGTTTACGAGTAATTACTGTATTAGATCATCGTTATTAATGACAAATAATTAGATTATAAAGGAAGTCACAGCCAGTGGATGTTTTTTTTTCCAGGCCGCTGAACTGCACAGCTGTACTTCACATCCTGTTAGTTAGTACCATTGTTCGTGGGATATAAACAGATTCTGAGAACAGGTGTATTGTCACTGGGCAGGTGTTGTTGTGTAGTTCTGCAACCTTTGAACTTGCATATATTCATTCTGCATAACGGTCATATTAAACCAACCAGATAAAATAAAAATTTAATTAATTATTCATGCAATACCAGAGAGAAGAGCAAAATAAACTGAAGATCGAAGTGAAACATTTGGTAATTTCGCAAATTAATGTATTGCTAACAATGCACTATTTCTATGACGGTATTCTTTCAACGGTAAACAGCCGGATGTATATATCATGGCGCAGGGAAAACAGAAAGCAGACGACGGCGGCGGCTATCATGATGGATACTGGCACAGAGAGCGATTAGTCTCAGGGAAGGATCGCGTCGTCTGTAGTTTTAGTCCAGTCGGCGTTAGACTTCTGAACTGATTGTTAGGGATCGAGAATAGTTTGTTACTGCAGTCTATGTTGTGGATTCAACTATACAGGACGAGTTACCGTTTGTTTAGTGTAATTACAGTGCAAAACTACCATGAACTCGCAGTTAGTTAACAACATTAAATAAAGTAAACAATATAATTAGTATATAAAATATATTTGTTATTTACAACTATTACCATATACAAAATTTGTTTGTGTAGTATAAATATTATATACATTAGAAATTGTATAACATAACTATAAATAATAAGTAGTTTAGTAGAAGATGCTCTTGATTTCTGGCTGCACTAACTGACTCAGCTGACCGCATATCATGTCGCCAAATTTTCAATGTCTCAGAAAACTAAGCGTACTAAGTTCCGTTATGGATGCATAACTATAATATATATACATATAGTTACAAAATTAATATTTTTTTTTACACCACCCAGAAAACGGCTCATGTAACAAGACTATGCGATTTGGGAATCGTGGAAGTGAAAGTATTAAGAGATACGTAAAAGGTGAAACTTTCTTACAAAGCGAACTAAGGTAGTAAACGTCACTAAATAATTATAAAATATATATCATTCATTTGTAGATTACTACAGCTTACAGAAGAGATGTGAACCTGTGTTAATTAATTACCAAGCGATGATTTTCAGATGCATCTTTATAGTGAAAGAGTATTTTATTCAGATGACAAAAGCACAACAATGTCCAATGCAGCTTTAGATGTTCGTCTTAGACGGCAGATGCCAGTGACTGCAAAGCCACCTAGATTACGGCTGGGGATTCGATCATCATTGCAGAGTAAATGCCTACAGCAGGATATAAGTCTGAATCATGCTTCACCTGTTGCCTCTGCTGATAGATTTAGCACAGGCCTTTTCCAAAGAAAGGGTGCTCTTGTTATGCCTGGTGATAGTACCGATAATCGAAGGAGAATTAGTAATGGCATCAGACCACTAATTCATCATCAGAGGCAGAATCTAAAGAACAGGTTCTTGTTGGTGAAAACCCTTGGTGAAGGAGCGTATGGAAAAGTGAAGCTGGCTACAGATAAGGCAACTGGAGAGCATGTAAGTAGTTTTGTGTGTGTGTATTTTGTCTACTTTACTGACACATTCTCATTGCAGTCTTAGATAGTAAGTGGCCTTTAGATATTTTCTGCAGGTAATGCTGGTGTATTAGACAACCAACAGAGAGATAGACTGGCTGACTCTGCATCACTTGGTGATGAAGATCGGTCAGAACACTTATAGATCTGTCTAAAGTACAAAGTTATTCTGAATTTGAAATCAAATGTGGCTGTCAAATTTCAGGGCGTTGCGCACTGGCATTTTCCAGTTCAACGAAATGTGTGTGTTAAAATGCCTAACTAACATGAAGACTAAAAAACAAACACATGAAAGTAATCAGAAGAAATCTGGGTTCTTTATTAATATCCTACCCCAAACAGGGAAATCAAAAGGTCACGGGAGAGTCTAATATTTCAGGGGGTGGCAGATAGGCTGCATGCAGTAGTGGGACCTCTCTCATGTGACATAGGTGGGTTGGGGTTAGGGCCAATTCTAGATGTTTTGGGTCATTAAAAGCATCAGAAAGCTTGGAAACTCAGTCTTACCACCCTCTAAAATGTTGAACTGCCCTGTGACATCATCTGAAGTAGGATATTAGAAAGATCAGAAAATTGTGATGTAAATATATTAAAAGAAAACTGCCTTTGTGAAAAAACAAGTAGGGCTTGGTTGTGGCCCTGCGGATTGTGAATCCTTAAGCATATTCCTATATACATCACTGTATTAATTTATCCTGAATCTGACTTGTGATTAGTGATTAGTAAGGATTATCATCACAGCACTGTGGACAGATCCATAGGTGCTCTGATCTCCTCCTCAATAGCTTTATAAGTGTCAATTGACCAATGACACCTGTTCTGTGATGATTGATTAATCTGTGACTTATCATGTTATTAAATGTTGAATAAAGAATTGACATCACTGCACTCAAATCACTTCATAAGCCCTCCATCCCCATCTTCTGCAGCAAGCAAAAAGTTTCAGTTCCCATGGTACCAGTAACTGTCTGATTGTAAATCATCTTGCCTTTCCTTTGAGTGTTGAGCGCCAGCCAGATCCCTATGGTTTCTTCTTCTTCTTCTTTCGTTCGCCTGAAATAAGTTATCTATATCAGCAGTTTTGTCTCTTGTATCCCTATGGTGACTCCTGTCTGCGCTGTTCTCCTCAGACAATACTGAGCTGTATGTGCCTCCGCACTGTTTAGTCTCTGCCAGAGGGCTCTCACAACATCTAGCTTGTCAGACATCAGTTTACCACCAAGTGGTGCTAACTACCTGGGACGTCTGAAGTCATGCTTGCCACTCTGCATGGAGCATGTCTGTCTCCACCTTTCCCAGCATGCTCTGTGAGTTAATTACAATCACAACAGGTGTCCACAGTTGATTCTCAAGCTAGCGGAAGGCAGTAGTGACTGCCTCCACCTCCATTCTTGAACAGGATGATGTGATACCATATGGCAGGCTTTGTTGGGTTAAGCTTGTCTGTCAGTATGATGTGATACCATATGGCAGGCTTTGTTGGGTTAAGCTTGTCTGTCAGTAAAACCATCACACCTCCCTGCACTCATTTATCTTTGAGATCCAAACACTCCTTACTGTTGTTAGATTTAAGTTGGCTATTGTTTTGTTTTTGTTGACGTCAACCTCTCTGATCACCCTGAATTGTCACAGAGAATGGGGCCCCGTTTTTAAGTTGTCCGATCATTAAGAATTTTTAACCGCAGGTGCATTATAAGTCATGCGCTAATACAGGCAGTGTCCTTCAACACCTGCTGTTTAATCTTTCCATTTGTTACCCATTAGTTTGCTTTGGTACAAACGTCATTTTCTTTGCTAGTTTTGACAACAAGGTGCTGTTGGGGAATATTTTTAGTCTTGATTTCAATAACAGATTTAAAGTCTAACACTTCAGTAGTGGTTTTGTTGTTGTTGATGTGTCCACTCATGCGAACTCAATGTTTATGTTTTCCCGTCTTGTGGATTAATTTTATGTGAGGATCGTTTTATTTAATTTCTGAATCTAAGTGTTCTTGTTTTGTTGAGTGATAAATACTTCTGTTGACACATTTCGTTGTCTTTCATATTTACTGAGCTGTCTGGTTGTATTTTTTTCTTTTTCCTTTTATTTATTAATATCTCGACTAGTTTGTTTATTAGACACATTAAAAAAATTATCATATAGTCATCATCATGTGCCCTGCCAGTTGGCGTAGGCGCTCATGCGTCTCCGTAGATCACAATCCCTGGTTGTCTGGAACAGCTCTCTTGATGATATTCTTCCATGCCATTGTTTTAGCCCATCCAGCATAATCTCTCTTGGTCTGCCTCTTTCCACTGGTCCTCCAAAAAGGAAGCTTTGGGTTATAATTGTGGCTATGTTTCTTGCGCCAACTGTTGTTGGTTTTTATTATGTTTCTGTTACATATGAAATAGCTTAGTATTCCTATCTTATAATTATATGCCATTAGAGTATTTTTTAAAAAGACCTCGGCTTCCAGGTCGAAGCAGTCTTAATTGGGTACCAGGTAAAGTCTTGGGTAGTAAATTCGGTCGGCGTGATGTTGATCACATTCCCTGCCAATTGGTCTATAAATTATAAGCTTAGCTCCTTGTGCACAGTACTGCGTTGTTCTTTATGTGCTGATGAAGGCTAATCGCCGCAACGTCCTTTGTTTGTTTATTGTGATCGATTTTGTAAAGCTAGCTTTGTTCTTTCTTACCAACTTTTTCTCTTCCCTATAATTTTCTACCCCTTTAAAAACCTGTGCACAGTACGTCTCAAGGCCTGAGAAAAGGATAAGGTACTTTACTATCCCAGCATGTCGTCACGGATAGCTTAACCACGAAGAGAATCGCCTGCAGGTTTCACATTCCAGTCGCCGCGTACTTTGAGGCACTTTGCGCCGACATTGACAATAATGAACACCAGCGCTGCCGAAATACCAGGCCTCTGGTTTGTTTATATTTGTGCATGCACCCTGACATAACTTTCCTGCCTTGATCGTCCTAGTCATGTACGTTTGAAAACACGTAGACACACGTTTTGAATAGATGGCTTCGTGTTAAGAAGGTGAAGGATAGACAGACGAGAATGAACTTCACTGTGAACAATTTCGTAAGTAAGAAAAGACCCCTTCATGCCTTTGACCATATCGGGTAAATGGTTCCCACATCATCCTAATTCGATCACTAGCACTCGATAATGCATGTAGTGTACCGAACAGCAGCCAGTCTGACCTAGAAGTAATGTGTTTGAATCCTCATCATGGCAGTTTAAAAAAAAGAAATGCTTATATTCTGGCCCTTTTATTCTGTTCTGAGAAACTCCCTGTATGTTTTACTGATTGACAAGTTGAACGGTCATTATAGCCTAAAAGGATACATCTGTTTAGATTGTGTCACATTATATGTACAGATAGACAGTTTTGAAAATAAATGCCTTAGAAGAATACTCAATTTCAAATGGTCAGATTTCCGAACCAATACACAAATAAGGCAAGAATTCAGGCAAGAGTATGTGTCTGATTTTATTCGAAAACGTCGCTGGAACTATGTCGGACACGCCATTAGAATGGATAAATCAAGACTTCCTTACCAAGCTCTCATTTGGACACCACAAGGGAAAAGATCTCGTGGAAGACCAAGGGAAACCCTACGTAGAACTATCATCAGGGAAGGCTCGCTCATGGGCCACTCAAACATCCAAGACCTACAACAGATTACAACGAACCGCCATGCATGGAGAGTCATGACCTCTGCCCTATGTGCCGCACTCGACACAAGAGGAAAGATTAACTAACTAACTAATATGTACAGAAAGTCTCTTATTAAAAAATACACTTTGTTTGTAACTGTTGCTTGTAGTAGTTTCAGCGGAGGCCACCCTTCAGTGTCGGAGTATGGGAATAATAATAAAACAAACCTAAAGCATAACGAATTCTTTTATGAGGTGGATGAATCTGACTCGTTACAACATAATTTCTTTGAAAATAAGAGCAGTAACTGCGATTTCAATCTCTATACTGAAAAACTTACGAACAATTTATGAAAATTATCTCTCTCTCTTACTCTCTTTCTACCGATGTCTTGTTTTAATTCACTTCTTCCCAGCTGCATCTGGGGCAGCTCCCCCCGCGAACTCTTCAGACGACCCCTCCCCCTCTCTTCGGTGGGGGGGGGGGGGCGTATTGTTCACTTTGGGAATTACTAGAGTATTAGGTTTGAACTCCCGCCACTCGGGATTGTACAATGCCGCCCCGCCACTACGACTCCCGCTCAGGCACTAAACGTGTTTTGTAACAGCGCTTTCATCCATTGGGGTGTAGATGAATGTACCTTTCAGTGTTGTGTTTTGTTGTGGTAATATTTACAGTGGCACTGAGGCACAGATCTCAATGGGGAGTAGCTCAGAGCTAAAGGTCTCTCAGCTTGTGGCTCTGACAAACGTGTATTTTGTTTTACAAATAAGAAGAGCGACAGTGTTCTGCTTCTGTTTCGGTGACCCTGGGGATTGTGAATCGGAAGTCACGTTCACAACACCCGGCCGCAGACGAGGGGCATTACATGCATACACGTCCCTTTGTGGATGGGTTTCGCGCTGCCATTTATGAAAAGGATAGCCCCACTACCTCCTTAAAAGCATGTCGTAAAAGGCGACTAATTACTGGTTTGCGAAAATCAGATGTGGTGGGCCGAAGAAAATGCATAAGCAACACGTTAAAATTGCGTCTGCAGCTAGGAATGACAACAAGCAGCCTAAATATGTTTAAGGTTTGAACAACGGATCATCATCATGGCACATGGGTAGTAACCAATAAGAGCTCCGTTCTTCTTTTAACTCAAGTCTAAGTCAGAGAAGGCTCAGCACGGTGCACAGACTCTGTAACACCAGCGAGGATCCTGAAATGCTTTGGGTAGATTTTTAACTCCAAATTTTGTCAGGGCAGCGCATTTAGGCTACCCTTTTCAATTTCTATCTGCCAAGGTATTTTTTACAACAAT